GAAAGACATTTGGGGCATGTGGCATGCGTGCGCTCCTGTCTCTTATACACATCTAGATGTGTATAAGAGACAGATACAGAGAAGATTAACATGGCCCCTGTGAAAGGATGACACACATAAATGAGAAATGGTCCAACAACACAGAAAGGGAGGATAAAAGAGAGGGGGTGAGGGGGGAAAGGGGGGGGGAGAGGGGGGAAGTGACTGGTTTAGCTAGAGCCTGAAGCAGGGGTCCAACCCCCGAGAGAAGAGAGAAGTCAAGCTCACAGTTGCGGACATCCAGTATCACGACTTCAAGCTCACAGTTGCGGATATCCACTATCAAGACATCAAGCTCACAGTTGCGGATATCCACAATCGGCGGGTAAGTTCATTTCAAACTGTAAGCTCACTGCATACCGTATTATTCAGTACATTATCATAAACCCTAGAACACTGACATTTATTTCTAAATAATCATCATTATTAATAAAGTTAAAATTGCTATGAAAAACCTGTGTATACACTGTGAAGAGTACTAAACACAATGACTAGTTTTACTCTATCCACGTCCAGATACGTACTGGTACAGAAATCCACCGTAAGCAAACATACAGAAGCACACAGACACACTGGCACTAGATCAGTTCGCCATGTATTGTCTAAGCTGCGCACATCATGATGCGTTGCTTCTGCATTCTGCATTGTGTTCGGGCAAAGACATGCCGTGAGGCGAACATACACAAGCACACGCCGCATATGCAAGCCCGCACCGGTACTCACTTGATGCTACCTGCAGGGCATTACATCGGTTCGCCATTTATTGTCCGAGCTCTGCAGATGAAAATGCATCAACTTCCGCGTTCTGCATCATGTTGGGGCAAAGGACGCAAGCAAACACCGCGACCAGTGCCGACCATCGTTGACACTACTTGCAGGGCGAACATACGCAATCACACACCGGTACTACACTTGACTCTACCTGCGGGGCATTACATCTTCGGGCGAACATGCGCAATCACACACTGGTACTACACTCGACTCTACCTGCGGGGCATTACATCAGCTCACATTTTTTTTCTGCGCTCTGCAGATGGCAATGCGTTTGCGTACCCATTCTGCATCGTATTGGGGCAAAGACAAGACGTGCAAGCACACACCAGGAATACCTACTAGACGCTACCCGCAGAGGGCATCATATCAAACATCAGTTCACCCTTTATTGTCTGCGCTCTCTGCGTCGCAATGCTTTGCTTTTGCATATTCTGCAGTGTGTTGTGGCAATGACATGACCCGATATGCCTCTTCATCGACTGCAGGACACGATGTTTACCTACAAACAAAGCAAATATGTTCCTTGTCAGAAAGCGCCCGCTTACGCTATTGACGCCCTCGGAGACGAGCTGAGTGGTGCTGCAGAAAGGACACCTGGTGGGTTTTTAACTTTTAATAACTTTCTAGCTGGCCAGTTTGCTACGAGCGGAGTCGACGTCATCCGACCATCAACTTTTATCTCCTTGCACAGGTGCCAACTGCAACCCCCGATGGTGATACAATTTAGAGTGGCATTGCAAATCAGTATGTCTGGTAGACGTCCTTCGGGACATCTGTTAAAAATGGAACGATACAGAGAAGATTAGCATGGCCCCTGCGCAAGGATGACACGCAAAAAAAAAAAAAGTATGTCTGGTAGGTTGTTGGCTGACCAGTTGTTAGGAGCAAGCAGGAAATATCATCCACCAGATTCCACCTCCTTTATTTTTTCCCCTTCCTCATCCACCTATGGTCTCCTTTTCAACTACAGACCCAGCTCCTTCAACTACAGTGCCATCTGGATCCATTGTAATACAAAAAATTCAAAAATAATATATCATGAAAACTTTGAAAAGTGAAAACCTGATTGTTCAAATTTGAAAACTTCACTAGCGGGGATTAATCATACGCTGTTGCAGAAATTGCGCAGCACTTCATGTTAGCATGGGACAAATCAAATCACTGAAATCAGTATCAGTAAAAAAAGTTCAGAAAAAACTTTGGGGGGAAAAGAAAATGCTACAAATATATATACAGAACCCCAAGGGACTCTTTACAGCACAGCACCACAGGCAGACCGACATACATTTCCCTACAAGGGCCTTTATTACCTTAATAACAACAACATTGAATAGTATGAATACCCCCCTACACCCTACAGCCGGGATAAGACGCCCCTGCAACCTGTAGTCATCAATGTAGCAATGTAGAGGGCTGTCTGGAAGATCATACAGGCCCTGCAGCCCAATTAAGAATTTAAGAGCCGTAAGAATATGTAACGAGTTGCGAACAAGAGAGAGAGAGAGAGAAAAAACAAAGTGAAAAACATTTGTGGCTGGCTCGCAGTCCAGCCTGAATGCCTAGGTCACCTCACTGTCGATGCAGCTCGTTGAGCGATGAAGGCCAAAGATGCGCAAGAAAGGGCCAAAAAGAGCCCCATGGTCCTGAGAGTGTGCCTGGTGCTGACCTGATTGAACAAAAATGTGCCCGACCCAATTAGGAGTCAAGCTCGCGCGCCTGCCCATCTCCTGTCTCTCTCATCGCCACCCTGCAGCACGACTTTCTCCCTCCCTTCCCCCTTTTACTTTCATCCCCTCCAGAGAGAGCCTGACGTAGTCGACAAAAGATGTCTTGTCAGAGCCTGGACCACAAAGAGTCCGACCCGAAGATGCCTACCTACCGTCTTCACCCAAGCAGAATACCCGGTCATTATCACTGCATCTGGACTGAAAGTTGTGCCAAATGCAGCTATATAATGACCGGGTGTTCTATTCGGGTGAAGAAGACGGTAGCCGTCTCCTGTCTGTCCCTGAAACAACATGTTGCCACACTCTAAGCCAGGACCACAAGGACCTGTTCAAAACTGACTTCAGTCCTATCTTCGTCCCCTCGAGAGAATGCATGTTCATGATTAATGTACACAAGCTACTTTTCCGGTCGCGTACAGTCAAAATGAGGGTGTGTCATGTTCGCTGGAAATAGTACGGATTGCGCATCACTCCTCCATGGAACTAACTGGGTTATGTTTCCGGGACCAGGTGCAGGTTTCAGTCCTGAGATTTCCTATGCAGGAACAGCATTCCTTCCTTCCAAAACTGGCTACGAGCCTGGGAAACACGGGCATTTCTCCTCGTGTATACAAGCTGGCTTTCCGGTCCCATACAGTCGGAATGAGGGTGCGTAGTGTTCGGAGGAAATAATACGAACAGCAGGGGCATCAGTCGTCCATGGAACGAACCTGGTCATATTCCTGAGAACAGGCTTCAGGCCTAAGCTGTCCTGTTTAGGGACAGGATTCCTTCCTCAAACCGGGGCTATGATCCCGGGACCAAACAAAAGGGGCATTCCTCCTCACGGAACAAGCTGGGTTCTATAAAATCCTATTCCCGGCACCAGAATTCAGTCCGGCGAACAGGGGTCCGTCTATCATTCCAGACACTCGGTGGAGTTTGGAAGACGAGGATTCGTGCATGCAGCATTGGCATGACATGATATCTAAGGCGCATCAGAACGCATGTGCATGTGCTCTTCAAACTTCCTTCTTTCCCTCCCCCAAATAGAACCTGCTGTCTTCAAGACCCTCCTCCTCCTCCTCCTCATCATCATCATCATCATTGAAGATGTCGATCGTGACACTCCTAGGTGAGTCCGGAGCATTCATTTTCTGGCCAAGCTCTAGATCAGACAAGGTACTAGGAAACGACACCTCCAGGAGTCGCTGAGATGGAGTCCGGGTTCGATGCACCCTCCCTTTCAGAGCTTTCCAGGGGTACAGAACGATCACCAACATGGCCATCATCGCAATCCCAAGCGCCCCTGCCAGCGGGTTGCCCACATGATTCCCAGTTATCCAATTTGGAGAGCTTGGAGTTGCATGCAAAAATCCTCCTACATGAACAAAGAAATTCCCTGCACGACAGACCGGACACGGCCGGACACAGACATGGGCAGGAAAGAGTCGCACACACACAAACCGACAACCAGATAATTCCAGAACACAGCGGAATGAACCACAGTCAATTCCAACAAAAAACAATTCTCATTCTAAACAGGTGGATACATTTTGAAGCAGTTTTTTGAAGTGCGCCCCCCCCCCAAAAAAAAAAGGATAATTTATTAATTTGCAAAATACCCCTATTAGTTGAGATATATGCCAAAATGCCCCTAAAAGGTCTGGGTAGAGCTGAATACCCCTCTGACACAAAAAATGCTTTGCGGCGTCGGTTGGACCTGTCATCTTTGCAAAATACCCCTACCGGGTACTGTCCATGTTTGCAAAATGTCCCAGTACTTGTCAACTTTTCCCAGGCCCTTTCTATTTTCGTTTTACCCCTAGTGGCCCAGATCATCTTTGTGTTTTGCCCCCTCGCTGTGTGTGTGTGTGTGTGTGTGTGTGTGTGTGTGTGTGTGTGAGAGAGAGAGAGAGAGAGAGAGAGAGAGAGAGAGAGAGAAGAGGCGAC